AGAGTCACATGTAATCTATGACTCCATTTTTAAAAAGAGACCAAAACCCGGCAAACCATACACCTGTGTATAGATGATTCTTTGAGCATAGATAAAGAAGTGAAAGATGGTGCTTATGTCTGGGAGGCAGAAAACGAAGGTGTGGGAGAGGTTTTCACCTTTATAAACTCTCTGTTGTTTGACTTGAGCAAGTATTATTTACATAAAGTTTTTTTTCTTTATCATTCCCTATTTCTCTAAACCACTTGAGAGTAAATTGGAAACATCTTTATGCTTAACCCCTAACTTCAGGTTTTCTTTGCTAAAAACAAAGGTCTTCTGTTATAAAACCAAAGTACAATTCTCAAATCTGGAAATTTAACATTGATACAATACTGTTATCTAATTCACAGCCCATATTCAGGTCCTTCCATTGTCCCAATAATGTCCTTTATGGCTTTTTTTTTTCCTCGTCCAAGATCCAATCCAGGACTATCCACTGGATTTTGTTTTCAATGTTGCTTTAGTCTCTTTTAATCTGGAACAACTTAGCCTTTCTTTGTCTTTTTTTTCTTTTAAGATTGGCACCTGTTCCAACATCTATTGCCAATCTTCTTTTCTTCTTCTTCTTCTTCTTCTTCTTTCTCTTCTTCTTGTCCTCCCCAAAGCCCCCCAGTACATAGTTGTATATTCAAGGTGTAAGTCCTTCTGGTTGCGTTATGTGGGATGCCGCCTCAGCATGGCCTGGTGAGCGGCGCCATGTCCACAGCCAGGATCCAAACCAGTGAAACCCTGGGCCACCGAACCGGAACGCACAAACTTAACCACTTGGCCACAGGGCTGGCCCCTCTTTGTCTTTCTTGATCTTGATATTTTTAAGAACATAGGCCAGTTATTTTGTAAACTGTCCCTCAGTTTGGTTCGGCCTGATGTTTCCTTGATGATCCAGGCTTCGCAATTTTGGGAGAAATCCTATATGTGATATTGTGTCCATCTCAGTTCATCTTATGAGGAGGTCCGTGATGTTACTTTATCCCAATATTGTTAATGTTGTGTGATCATTTGGTTAAGGCGGAAGTCCACCAGATTTTTCCACTGTAAAGTTACTGTTTTGTAATTAATAAGTAATCGTGGAGAGATACTTTGAGATCAATCTGTATTTTTTTTAAGCTAGGTAGAGGAATGAAAAAAGAGGGTTTGGTAAAGGCCATCTTCTGGGACCCACTATCCTTTCTGTTCATCTGGTTCCCCAGGCCCCTCTGTCAGCATTTACCCTTGCTCTCCTCCTCCATCCCATCCATTTCCGCCCTAGATATCTTTAGAGCCAGTGACTGAATGAGGCCCTACAAGCATTTTTTCAAATATGAGGCCTAGATGATGCTAGGGCAGTGGTTCTCAAACCACTTTTAGAATCTAAAACAGATAAAATGAAAGTTGTTTTTAGAATCTAAAACAGATAAAATGGAGTAAGAGTGGTGGGCTCCAGCCATGCCCAAAGGACCTTCTCCTTCCCTGCTGGTTGATCTCTGAAGGGCCCCCAGCTCGCCCAAGAGGCACACCGATGGCTACTGGCTCCTCAGGAAGGCTGGCTTGGACCTTAGCCCTCTTCTATTTACTGCCTCTGACAGCTCTGACCTTGGGGCCTGGGGCCACGTGAGTCATTGGCTTTTGAGAAGAAGCTCTCAGCCTATGCTCAGGCAGCATCCCAACCTCCGACACCATCCCAGCTGCACTTTCTCTTTTGTTTTCCTGGGATATAGACTGCAGGCCAGAGAGGAGGGCAAGGAGAAGTAGTAGAGACCCAGACAGACTCCTCCCTCCTCTCTGCCCCACAACCTGAAGCAGCTGCTTCCTTCCAGCCTGCACCCTGGAGAAGGCAGCCATGTTGGATGTTCAGGTCAAAGGCCTGGCAGATCTCCCGAGCGCTCTCTGCAACAGACTAGCCCCATCAGAGGGGAACCTGAACCTGGTGGATGACTACAGCCACCAAGAAGAAGTGGGCTGGAAAAGTTTTTCACTTCTCCAAAGTTATTCTTATGGTAGCTCTCAGAGTCTGTATGTGACAAATAAGGTGGGGGTGGGAGTAGGATAAAGAAGATACCACCAGGAATGAATCACAAGTTTGTCACTGACCACTAGCAGCCATGTGACTGCTAGTGGGGATAGAAAATAAGCAATTCCTACAGTTGTCATCAGGACTAAATGTGATCCTGCAGTGGGCTTCCCAAATCTTAGGAATCAGCACACTACGTGGATGGCTTTGGCTGTACCTTCATGCCAGCTCTATCACTTAGCTAATAATTCCTCCTAATTGTTTTGTTTTGCAAATGTAGCCATGTCCTGAAGAAATACTGCTCACGAGATTGGGTTTATTTCACATCTTATGTTTTCCTACTCTACCTTAAAATAAATAGACAAGTATTAAAATTGGAAGCGGTTCGTGTGTGTACCACAGTGGGGTAATGCAGGTAGAGTGATCGTGCACTCCTCTCTGCTGCCACACTATCACCAGTACCCCTCCTTCACCGCACCCCCACAGTCTATGATTTAACCTCGGTGGCTTTGTTTGTTGGGAAATGAAAGAGGCCCCAAATCTCTGTGATGATAGGTATTTTAACTCATTCAGTATGTTGTTGCAGACACTCATTGGCCTGAGTCATGTTCAGGATTGTACAACCCCCACCTTGGGGTGTGAAAGGGTGGACCGATCTGTCAGAAGCAGGATCCCTGCAGAGAAGGCTGTGTTTCTGCTTGGCCTAACTTTCCCTCAGGAGTGGTTTATTCTGTGCCACCTGCAGCAGGCCAGGCCAGGGGAACTTTCTGATGGGGGGTGTCCACATCGCCTTCTGGGCATAACAGCAACAAGCTCTCCAGCTAAAGCCTGAATTCGAGCCACATTTTAGGTGGAATGCAGCTCCAGTGCATTGCCTCTGCATTAATCAGGGTTCAGTTACAGGAAACAGAAGCCATTCTAGCCATTTTAATCAGTAGGGGATTTAATACACAGGATTAGATGCTTATAAAATCATTGGAGGGCCTAGACGAATGGCTCTAGGTGGGCCTCCAAGAATGTACCCAGAACAACACAGCAGAACTGGCCTAACCAGGGGAGCTGCAGCCTCTCCCACACCAGGAACAGGAGGAGTCAGGAGGCTGTCATCAGAACTGTGATCCAGATATCAAGAGGCCTTTGCCAGAGCTGCAACTCTCTGTTAATCTCTTTTAGCTCCCACAAATGTGAATTGCTGCTGAAATCTGGTGTCTTCTTGGCCATGCTAGCCAGCAGTAACAACCAGGGAAGCCAAGAGATGGCCTCCACCTGACTCCTAGCTGCATCAGTGATGCAGCTCTTATCTTAACTGATGGAGCTCTTATCAAGAATTCCAGCTGCAAGAAAGGCAGGGAAATGGAGTTTTCAGCTTTCTAGTCTCTGCAGCATGTGAAGGCACATTAGGAGGTTGGAATGGATAATGACAGCCTGTTCACCATACCCACCACAGTCAGGCAAATGAAGCGTCTTCCTCGCCAAGAGCTGGGCCCAGCTGATCTCTCCAACCTCATCTCCAGCCACTCATCTAACCCATCCACCCTGTGTTCAGTTGAATTTCTGGGGTACCTCCAACGCTCAGTGCCTTTGCTCAGGACATTCCCTTTGTCTGGAATGCTCTTTCTTGCTTTTTCTATGAGATCAATTTGGATCGTCTCTTCTTAGAAGCTCTCCTACCTCCTGGGGAAAAAGTCTTGTTCTAGGCTTCTATAGCTTTTTCTGTATACCTTCCGTAATGATTTATTTCCATGTTTGTCTTCTACACTAGACAAAGAGGGCAGAGACTGGATCTTATCTGTCTTTGCTTACACAGTTGATCAAGGTCTGAGCCAATTCCTTTCAGCTCCAGGCATATAAAAAAATAAGACTAGGGGCTGGCCCAGTGGTGCAGCGGTTAAATTCACATGTTCCACTTCGACAGCCCGGGTTCGCCAGTTAGGATCCCAGGTGCGAACATGGCACCACTTGGCAAGCCATGCTGTGGCAGGCGTTCCACATATAAAGTAGAGGAAGATGGGCACGGATGTTAGCTCAGGGCCAGTCTTCCTCAGCAAAAAGAGGAGGATTGGCAGCAGATGTTAGCTCAGGGCTAATCTTCCTCACACACACAAAAAAAGACTAAAACAGGATAGCAAAATTTCTGGCACAGTTTAAAAGTTTAAGTTTACCAACCTAATGCTTTTAACATAAAAATTATGATGCAGTATAACTGGGATATTTTCAAAATAAATACAGAAAAATTTTAAATATATAAATTTGTAGAACATTAAAAGTGTTAATTCATAAAAAAAAAGGTATTGGAAACTATAGGACACAATGCTAATTTTGCCCCAAATCAGTTCTTTACTTTTCATGTTATCGTGACCCTCAATTTTTAGCAGGATATATGGTCAACCAAATCAAAAACTACATTTCCCAGACTCCCTTGCAACTATGTGTGGTCACATAATTAAGTCTGACCAATAGGACATGAAACCAAGTGATATGTACAACTTCAGGTGCTTTAAAAGGAAAGAGGCATTTTTCTACTTTCAATAGGCAGTAAGCCACCTTAGACCATGCAGACTGGGGCATACTAGGGACAGCAGAGCAACAATTGATTTAGAGCCTGGCTCCCTGTTACAGCAAAGCTGGGTTATTAATAAATGAGAAAGAAATTTCTATATGTTTAATGCACAAGCATTTTGGTTCTCTGTTAAAGCAGCTGAAAGTGTATCCTGATTATTCCTGGTTCCAAACTATGGAATTACAGTCATACACCTAGTAATGACATTTCAGTCAATGACGGATGGCATATACGATGGTGGTTCTATAAGACCAGTACCCTGTAGCCTAGGTGTATAGTAGGATATACCATCCAAGTTTGTGTAAGTACACTCTATGATGTTCGCACAACAACGAAATCGCCTTATATTCCTCAGAACCTATTCTTGTCATTAAGCGACGCATGGCTGTATATGATGATGTCTTGCAGGTATAACTTCATTTGGAGACAGCATTAAAATTGTAAATGTAGGATCTGTTTGTGATGAGACCCAGACCAGTGTTTTTCCTGAGTCCCTGAACCAGGTACTAGACTTGAGCACAAAAAAGACACTCACTATATAAAGGAATTAATGCTCCAGAAGGTCATATGTGTTTTTTACTCTGTCTCAGGTGTTCCTTTGGCAAGGTAGCCTGTTCTCAGCTTTAAAGGAGTTCCAGGAAGGTACAGAAAGCTCCTTACACCAAGATGTCCATCACTGTGAAACATCAGAAGTAACCAGCAATAAATCAACATGGGAGGGATTAAAGAAATAATGATTCACTCATTCCAAGGAAAATTGCAGCCATTAATATAATGACAATTATGTGTCAATGCTTTGAAGTTACACTAAATCAAGAAAGCTTATGAAATAGTACTCTGATTGGGAATCCAGCTATGTCAAGAAGCATGTACACAAAGAACGAAAAAATCCTAATCATCTCCTGAGTGCTAGGCTTTCTACTGAGTCTTAAGGATACACAAATGAATCACATGTGGTCCTGATATGGCTCTCTGTTATGATACCTGCACCCAGTGCTGTGCAGTTAAATGTTTAATAGCTGCCTGTCGGTTGTGGGTGGGGGAAAACATTTTATATTTTTGCCAGTTTCTGTGGTATATGCATTTCCACCATGGCTGATTTCACACCACCAATGGAATTACACCAAAGAGGGAATTGGGAAGAGATGTAAACAAGTGTCTCTTCAGAGTCAGTGCAAGCTGGCTCCAGTATATCCCTGGAGCCTTCCACCACCTAATGTTTAACAGTTGGGAAGTGGTTCTTAAATACACAGGAATTTATTCAGAGAATGGAATGCTAATCAGTCATGAGAAGATCGTACGTTAGAATAATTGATCAAATTTGAAAAAGTTCAGGGTTTATTTTCCAGCTTAAAAAACAAGTAGGTGTGAGTGAGCTCAGTGAAAATGGCAGTGTAAGGATTCCAAAAATTCTCTCCTCCATAAAATTACCCAGAAGACTGGCAAAAGTCAACAGAGTCAACTTTTTGAGAAGTGTAAAAATTAGCCAAAAGCTTGAAACAAACTGGAGAACATTTATTCAAGAATAAAGGTGAATGTCAGTAAGAACAGTGAGTTTTGTGACATTTTAACTTGCCCTAGACCCATTTCCACAGTAGCCTTCAAAAATTCCTGATGGAGCATGTCAGCTACCAAAAGAAGAATGGAGCTGGAACTCTTTCAAAGATGCATTCCCAACTGACTGTAATTATTTGACCTGTCTGGTGCTTCCTGAAAGACCTCAGTTGCAAGGCTGTTTGTATTTGGCCTGACTTGGAGCTCACTCAGTGTGAAGACTTCTCTCTAGGTGACATTTTTTAGAAAAAAACAATTGCAGGCAAGTGTTTTAATTTTGTGACTGCTAGAGGCAACAGATAAGAGTTGGGTCAAACAATAGACTAAAAAAAAAAAAAGCTTAACAGGAAAAGTTAAGGAATAGATGTCCATAGAGACTTTGAAAACTTTGACATATTCCAGGAAATCTAGAAGGTCAGGCACGTGCGTAGGTCTGTGTGCCCAGGGATGCGAAGGAATTGAGCAGACCCTAAGCTCTCACCTTTGGTTGACCTTGAAGCACTGCACATGCAGGAAGTGACGGCTAAGGTGGAGTTGTAAACTGCCAGCCTGCACATTGAAAGCATGTCCTAACACACATTTAGAGCCCCTTGGCAAAGACTGGGAGATTTATTGTTTCCAGGCATTTAAACAAATCTCTGTTGCATCAGTAGCTGACTGCTAAGCTAACTGAGCAGGGACTTCGGTGACATCACATGACAAAGAATACAGACTTTACAGAATTAGTTCAGGATAGTAACTTAACAAACAAACAACTACTGCAACAAGCAGTAATGACGACAGCCCTTGGGGAGAGAGAAAATCTGAGGTCTAGAGTTGCACATTCAGTTATTTAAAATGTCCAGTTTTCAACCAAAAAATATAAGAACACTTCCAAACTCATTCTATGAGGCCAGTATTACCCTGACATCAAAACCAGACAAAAACATCATGAGAAGAGAAAACTACAGACCAATGTCTTTTGTAATTGTGTATGTAGAAATTCTCAACAAAATACTAGCAAACTGAATCCAGTAGCATATAAAAGAGATTATACACCATGACCAATGAAGATTTATCCAAGGAATGAAAAGTTGGTTCAACATATGAAAATCAATTAATGTAATACACCACATTAATAGAATAAAGTGGAGGGAAAAATGATCATCTTAATAGGTGCAGAAAAAGCATTTGACAAAATCCAACACAATTTATGATTTAAAAAAAAAACTTAAGAATAGAAGGGAACTTTCTCAACTTGATAAAGGGCATGTAAGAAGGACCCACAGCTAATACCATATTTAATGGTGAAAAAATGAGATTTTCCCTAAGATCAGGAACAAGGATGTCTGCTTTCATTACTTCCAGTAAACAATGTTCTGAAAGTTCTTGCAAAGGCAATTAGGCAAGAAAAGGAAATAAAAGGGATTCAGATGGGAAAGAAAGATGACATGAGCTTGCATATAGAAACTCCTAAGGAATAAACACACATTCACAATTAGAGCTAATAAATAAGTTTAGCAAGGTTGCAAGATACAAGATAAATATACAAAAAATTCTATATCTATACACTAGCAATAAAGAATATGAAAATGTAATTAAGAAAATAATTCCATTTATAATAGATTAAAAAGGACAAAATATTTAGGAATAAATTTAACAACAGAAGTGGGAGATTTATACACTGAAAAGTTCAAAGCATTGTTGAAAGAAATTAAAGAAGACCTAAATAAATGGAAAGACACCCTGTGTTCATAGATTTGAAGACATAATATTGTTAAGGGGGCAATCCTCTCCAAATTAATCTACAGATACAATGCAGTCCCTGTCAAAATCCATCAGCCTTTTTCTCTTTTTTTTTTTTTTGCAGAAATCACCAAGCTGATCCTAACATTCACATGGAAATACAAAGGATCCAGAATAGCCAAAACAATCTTGGAAAAGAAGGACAACGTTGGAGGACCTCACACTTCCCAATTTAAAACTTACTACAAAGCAACAGTAATCAAGACAATGTAGTACTGGCATCAGAATAGACATGTAGTTTGATGAAATCGATTTAAAAGTCCAGAAATAAACCCATACATCTACAGTCAATTGATTTCAACAAGGCGACCAAGCCCATTTAAATGGGACAGAATAGTCTTTTCAACAAACGATGCTGGGACAACTGCAAAAGAATGAAGGTGGATCCCTACCTCATACCATATGCAAAAATTAATTCAAAATGGATCAAAGAGAGCCAGCCCTGATGGCCTAGTGGTTAAAGTTCAGTGCTTACTGCTTTAGCAGCCCAGGTTCGCTTCCAAGTCGTGGAACCATACTAGCTGTCTGTCAGTTGCCATGCTGTGGTGGTGCCTCACATAGAAGAACTAGAATGACTCACAACTAAAATCTATAACCACATACTGAAGCTTTGGGGAGAGGAAGGAAAAGAGGAAGATTGGCAACAGGTGTTAGCTCAGGGCCAATCTTTCCCTGCAAAAAGAAGGGGGCCAGCCCAGTGGCACAGTGGTTAAGTTCACATGCTCGCTTCACCTGGGGTTCACTGGTTCAGATCCTGGGTGCAGACCTACACACCGCTTGTCAAGCCATGCTGTGGCAGGCATCCCACATATAAAGTAGAGGAAGGTGAGCATGGATGTTAGCTGAGGGCCAGTCTTGCTTGGCAAAAAGAGGAGGATTGGCGGCAGATGTTAGCTCAGGGCTAATCTTCCTCAAAAAAAAAAAAAGGATAAAACACCTAAATCTAAGTGCTAAAACTATAAAACTCTTAGAAGGAAATATAGTTGTAAGTCTTTATGACTTTGCATTATGCAATGATTTCTTAGCTATGACACCGAAACCACAGCAATCAAAGAAAAAATACATTGGACTTCATCAAAATGTAAAACTTTATGTGTCAAAGAACACTGTTAAGAAAGTGAAAAGACAACCATAGAATGGAAGAACCTATTTGCAAATCGTATATCTGCTAAGGATCTATTATCCAGAATATATAAAGAACACTTATAACTCAATAATAAAAAGGCAAGGGTTGGCCCCATGGCCAAGTGGTTAAGTTTGAGCACTCTGCTTCGGCGGCCCGGGGTTTTGCCGGTTTGGATCCTGGGTGCCGACATGGCACCGCTCATCAGGCCATGCTGAGGTGGCGTCCCACATGCCACAACCAGAGGCACTCACAACCAGAATATACAACTATGTACTGGGGGGCTTTGGGGAGAGGAAAAAAAAAAAAAGATTGGCAACAGTTGTTAGCTCAGGTGCCCATCTTTAAAAAACAAACAAAAAAACCCCCAATTTAAAAACGGACAAGGGATTTGAACAGACATTTCTCCAAAGAAAGTATACAAAAGGCCAATAAGCACATGAAAAGATACTCAACTTCATTAGTCATTATTGAAATGCAAATCAAAACCACACTCACTAAGATGACTACAGAAAAACAAACAAAAAAAAATGGACAATAACAACTGTTGGACAGGATGTCAAGAAGTCAGAACTCTCATACATTGGTGGTGGGAAAGCAAAATGATGCAGCAGCTTTGCAAAATAGTTTGGCAGTTCCTCCAAAAGTTAAACATAGAGTTACCACACGACCAGCCAGGTTTATACCCAAGAAAATTGAAAACATAATTTCACAAAAAACTTGTACATGAATGTTGATAGCGGCGTGATTCATAATAGCCAAAAAAGAGAGACAATCTGAATGTCTATCAACCGATAAATGGATAAACAAAATGTGGTATATCCATCCAACGGAATTTTTTTTTTTGCCATAAAAAGGAATGTGTACTGATACATGCTACAACGTGGATGCACCTTGAGAACATTATTGCTAAGAAGCCAGGGAAAAAAAGGCCACTAATGCATGCAATTCATATGCGTACATATATGTCATATCCAGATATTGCATGTATATGCATTTATCTGCGTTTATAGGCCGTGTCCAGAGTAGACAAATCCATGGAGACAGAAAGTAGACTAATGGTTGCCGGGGTTGGGCATGAAGGGCATGGGGAGTAAGTGCTAATGGGCACAGAGTTTCTTCATGGGGTGATGAAAATGTTCTGGAATAAGTGGTGGTGTTCCCACAACTTGTGACTATACTAGAAACCACTGAAGTGTGCACTTTAAAATGGGCGAATGGTAAATTTTGTGGTGTATGAGTTATATCTCTAATAAATAGACAACAAAAAAGGTACATTATAAAGTAATGTTTTGTATAAGCAGTAGGTAGGCAGCCTCTAAAATGACTTCCGGTAATTCTCACCTTCTGGCATCCACACCCTTGAGAAATCCCTTCTCTTTTGCTGTAGGCCAGATTTAGCAACTCACTAGTCACAAACAGTAACAGCAGAAGCGGTGTCGTGTCACTTGCGATATTAAGTTCTAAAGACTGCGGCTTCCATACTGGAGACTCTCTCTTCCTCTCCCTTGTATTCCTTGCTCTGGGAAGCCAGCTGCCATGTGGTAAGCAGCTCTGGGGAGATCCCATGTGGTGAGGAGCCGACATCTCCAGACACCAGCCAGTGCAGACCTGTGGACTGCTATGTATACAATTGGCCCTCCATATCTGTGGGTTCCACATCTGCAGATTCAACCAACCTTGGATTCAAAGGCATGTGATGTTTGTACCTGTACTGAACGTGTACAGACTTTTTTTTTTCTGGTCAATATTCCCTAAATAATATGGTATAACAACTATTTGCATAGCATTTGCATTGTTTCAGGTATTATAAGTAATCTAGAGATGATTTAAAGTGTATGAGAGGATGTGCCTAGGTTATATGCAGATACTATACCATTTTATATAAGGGACTTGAGCATCTCTGGATTTTGGTATCCTCCAGGGTCCTGGAACCAATCCCCCATGGATACTGTGGGACTACTGTATTGTTATTATTATTGCATAAAAATTCCATCTGTATTTGGACAAGGCCTAGAAAGGAAAACTGAAAACAGTTAATTCTTTGGAGTCTCCCTTTTGAATGTCAAATTCATTGTTGTCATGATGTTTAATTATTGAGTTCCATTTAGCTGGAACATTGAAACTAAAGAATGACCCTTTGGTAGACATTAGAGGGAAGCAGAGTGGAGGCCAGGCCCTGGGAGGAGGGTGGAATGGTGGTCCTGTATGAGATGCAGAAGTTGAGGGTGGGAGTGAAAGGAAGGAGGAACCCAGGACAGGATTAGGAGGCCTGATGGGTAGATCCTGGTGCCTGGTTTAATAAAAGGGCAGAGAGGGCCAGCCCCAGTGGCCTAGTGGTTAAGTTTGACACGCTCTGCTTCAGTGGCCTGGGTTCTATTCCCAGGCACAGACTTATACCTTTCTGTTAGTGGCCATGCTGTGCTGGTGGCCCACATACTGAAAAATAGAGGAAGATTGGCACGGATGTCAGATCAGGGCAAATCTTCCTTAGCAAAAAAAAATTAAAAAATAAAAGGACAGCGAGAGATGACCTAAATAACTGTCCCACACTTGAGATAGTCTCCAAAGAACCCTGACAAGGAAAATTAGGCTACTCTCTCACAGTGCCAGCGTTATTAATATTAGGTTATTTTGAAAGCTTTACATAACTATTTGTGTTCTATTTGCCTTGTTTCCCCCAAGAATGGATTGGAGACCTGGCCTTTTAGAGTGTTCACCAATGCACACAGTGGGAGAGAAATGTACAAACACTGTGATAGTGGTCATTAATATTCAAATGTTATTTGACTATTTGATACTATTTATTAATATTCAAATTTTCCTTCTTTCAGGGACATAGTAAGCTCACGCCTCCCTGCCTCACTGAAGTTATGCGTCACCATGTGACGGGCTTTTTCTGAGGAAATGTGAATGGGGGTGAAGTGGAGGCCTTTAGGAGCCAGCGTGTGAACTTCCATACTCACACCCGTGTGACACAGCAGCACGTGATACACCAGTTGGTGGAGGCTGGCTCCCTCTGCCCAGGTTCCTAGTGAGGACAACTTGGAGCAAGACGTACAAATTAAAAAATACACAGAGTCTGTGGCGGTAGATACACAAACCTGCATGCATCAAATTGTATAGAACTTAGTACACACGCATGCAAACACACAAATAATTACAAGTAAAACTGAAGAACTCTGAATGAGATCAATGTTGATATCCTCACAGTGATAT